CACGATAATCTCCGTTTCAAGCCTTCAACGTATTTTTATCAGGTTTTCTTTACAGATACAGAAACAGGCTGACGGTCCGGCGCAGTGGTCACACATTTGTACTCATGGGTGTAATGACTGACACACACACACACACACACACACACACACACACACACACACACACACACACCTGTAATAACATGAACTCATTTTAACAGAATATTGAGGTTATTTTAAGCCTCACAGTAAAAAAGACTGAGTGTTGGACAGAAACTATAGCATGCATGATCTTACTGCACACACACGGAGCTGGAGGCAGCTCGACGTATAAACTGAAGAGTGTCAGCGCTGCTTTGGATCAGTAACACTCATTTATTTTACTGACGCCAGGTTGAAACTCAACCTTTGACCTCCGTCACATCGAAAACAGACACGATGACAAAGGAAGGTGGAAAGTGTTAAATCAGAAAAGCTTTCACGTGATCACCAGTCCAGACTCTAAACGACTGAAACAGTTTGCTGTTCTTCATGGTTTGAATATTTGACTGAGTTTAAGTTAGAGCGAATCTCTGTGGGGGGCAGGCTGAAGTACCTCGACCTGGGCTGTGATCCAGGGGAATATAAAAAACAAAGTCTGGGCTTGAGGCTCCAGCACCTCCTCCTCAGGGGTCCCTCTCCTTCTTTACCTTCACATCTCCAGCCAGGATGGTGGAAATCTCCCCCTGCATAAATGCCCAGGGCACGTTGGAACCGACTAGCGGGCACTTGTCCCCACTGGGGCAGTACACCTCCCCGGAAGCCCCTTGGGCCTTGATGCTCTCCCGGGAGCAGGGGAAGCAGAACTTGTGTCCGGGGACGGAGGGACACTGCACGAAGTGAGTGTCCTCCAGGCGCTCGTGGCAGATGGTGCAACATAGCGGTCCGCTGTTGGCCACGGGGGAGTCGGGCACGCTCTGCGCGTGCACCTGGTCCTGCGCGGGCAGCCCGAGGTCCCCGTTGCGGGAGGAGAGGCGCCTTTGGCTGGAGGCTGAGGCCGGGGACGCCGGGCTGCCGGCCGCGTGCCTGGAGTGCGCGGCGGAGTCTCTGTCCTTGCCGGGCGAGTGCGCGTTACCGAGCGCGTCCGCCACTGACATGAGCGCGGCCATGGGGGACTGTCCGTTCTGCGGCGGGGCGGTGGCGGATTCCGGGGGGGTCTTGAGGGCCTCGCCCGGGCCCCCGAGCCACTGCTGCCGCTGCTGCTCGTCCGCAGAGTCCGGCTCCGGGGAGGCCTTCCTCTTCCTCAGCCCGGGCCGGGAGCCCCCCGCCCGTCCTGGCGGCAGCGGGAAGCCGCCGTCGGCGTGCGGCTGCGGTAGCAGCTCTACGGACAGCGGCTCCCGAAAGAAGCGCAGCGGCTCCGGCAGCAGGTCCCCGAGCAGCCGCCAGTCCCCGGAGCCCGGCTTCTTCTCGTACTCCAGGTACTTAAAGCCGGACGACAGCCCGCGCCCGAAGTCTTTCATGCAGTCCTGGTACATCTGCTTGGCCACCCCCGAGGCGCTGGAGAACACCGTCCCGGAGCCGCTCGGGTACTCGATGAACAGCTTCAGCTCATGCTCCGCGCCGGGCTTCGACGCGGCGTCGAAGGCGAACACGCGGCCCAACAGCGCGTGGTCCTTCTTGAAGCGGACGTCGAAGGGCGTGCTTCCGGTGAGCGCAAGCAGCGTGTCGCGCACGGCCTTCGGCCGGCCCGCCCACTCTTCCTGGCGGCTCCGCAGGCTGTCGCTCAACTCTGCCAGCACCTCCGCGTTGCGCTGCTTCTCCTTCAGCTCCCGGTCCGGGTCGGCGGCGGAAACCGAGGCGGGCCGCTTCGCCCCGGGCTCGGCCCGGCCCGTCTGCGGCAGCAGGCTGGGTGGCACGGCGGCGGACGGCGGTCCGGCGGGGGTCCTGCCGCGGGAGTTCGGGCTCTGGCGGTTCAGCTCCGGCGGGCCGTCGTCCTTGAAGCCGTTCGGTCCTCCGAGCCCGGTGGGCGGCCTGCCGCCGTAGTCGAAGCGTCCCAGCGAGTAGCGGTCCGTCCCGGGATGCTGGGGCTTGGCTGCACCATCCGCTGGGTGGTGGTGGTGGTTCGGCGGCTCTTTGCCGCTTAGTATGGCCGCCTGGCTCTTCGTCGCCCCGGGCTGCTGCTGCGGGGGCGCTCCCGCGGCGCCGCGGGCCTCCTGGAAGCCGTGAGCGCGCTTCAGGTGGCGGGCAGTCTCGATGACGAACTCGATCCGGTCCGCGCCCTCATAGTTGACGCATCCGCGGCACACGGGCTCCGTGAAGTCCCAGATCATGGCCCAAGGCATGCGCGGCAGGTCGCACAGGTAGCACGACTGCCGGCGGGACACCTGCGGGGAGGACATGTTCCCTCTGCCGGCCCCCTGCCTCCTCCTCCGGGCAGCCGCTTCACCAGCTCCCGCTAAAACTGCGACACGCCGCCGGACTGCGGAGCCTCCTCTGAGCTTATTGTTCCTCCTCCTCTTCCTCCTGCTGCTGTAGCTCCGTGTGCTGCTGCAGAGATGGAGGAGGGAGGAGGAGGGAGCTCTGCCTTTTTTTTCCCTGCATGCATCACTCCCGGGGAAGCGGAGGAATTCAGATTGTTACCCCCTCTCACACAATGCCACCTGGTGGAGTAGCTGACGTCACCGTCCCTCCCCCTCCGTGATCTCACTTGTTGCCCTCGTTCTTCCCCCATCTGTGTCACCCCCACCTCCTCCTCTTCATCCTGTATTTGTCACATCCAGGTAAAGAAGAAGCCCGCTCCACCTGCAGCACTCCAGCTGCCGGGGTTCACGGGTCTGACCCCAGCACACACGGGTCCGGAGGGGGCACACAGCGGGAGGGCTGAGGCCTCCCCCCCCCATCATATTTTTGTCTGTAGTTTGTGGGGCTGTTCACGAGTCATCATAAAAGTATCACAGCTTGTTTCTTTAAATAACTCCTGCTCCTTTTACCAGTCTTTGGCTTTTGAGGGTGGGGGTCTGCTGCCATGAGAAGAAACTCTTGAGATCAACCCCCCCCCTCCTCAGAGGAAACAACAGCATAGGTGTTTCATCACCTCACAGCAGTTTAAGGTGGAATATTACAGGTGGACCCTGGGGGTTTGGGCTGCAGAGGCATCCGTGTTGCTAGGCAGGTTTTACCTCTCTGCTCCAACCCACCCCTCCTCTCTCTCTCAGTATGCACTGAGCCTCGATCGCCCTCGCTGCTCTGATGTTTCTTTGGTTTCTGTCTTCAGAGCTCAGCAAAGTTAATTTATGCTCTTGTTTGAACCCTCAGTGTAGCTGTGCAGCACAGTTAAATAAATAAGCGATAAGTAAAAATGAGTCTTGTGATGTGTAACACATGCAGTATACTACGGTAAGCAAAGGATTACTGTGGTATACTGTAAATCTCTTTAGATTAAAGCAAAGAACTGACCAATAGGAGAGGTTTGTTTGCCTCTTTCCTTCCCCTCGTGTGTCTCCTGATCGAGGTGCCGTGCAGTCAGACATGATGTGACGTGATGGGCAGCTCTCTGACCCGAGCCTCTCAGTGCTCAGAGCACGTCTGACTGTGGAAAATATCCCGATTCTCCACACAGCAGCTTCAGCTCTGCTGCAGACAGCAATCACATCACTGAGCAATGAGTCTCTGTGGAGCTGTCCGCACGCAGTTCATCAAACAGGCGGAAAAATAAAAACTACACTAGTTTCAAGCAGAGTGTGCACAAACAGTATGGGGTTACCTCACAGCCTGTAACTCACAGAGGGACTTGGCTGCAGTTTGGCCTTGGCTGTCACAGTCACCTGCTCATTCATAACAATAAAAGACGTCTGTTTGTACAGAAACCTCACAGCAACACAAACACGTCCACAGTCCAGTTAGCACGAGCTAGCAGCTACACCCACCTGTCAGTCAAAAAGGCCACGCCCCTGATATGCAACCTTGCCTTGACAGAGTTTACACAGGTGAGTTATGAAAATATGCACTACACTGGTGCATTCTGGGAATATTGCGGTTTTTCAGTTATCAGCAATGGGTGGCGGCTTTGGCTTAGTGCCATCTCCATAAACACACAAAAGCATCTGCGTGCCTCTCATGGATACTGCTGGCGTTGCCATGGAAACGTGCGAGGAGAAGCTGCAGAATACAGGATCAACTGTAGCACCCCCCCCCCACCCCCCACACACACACTATGAATGATTATGCAAATGCAGCGACGCAGACCTGCTGTAGCATTCAGACGCTCCCAGGCTCCTTTATGTCTCCACCTGCTCCAGTCTTCACACAGCACTCCGACTGACCGAGCAGACCAATCAGCACCTCCACATGCTCTCACATGACCTTTCATCGCTTTAGCTGAAGCATCACTGCACAGGAACTAATCTAACCTTTGTCTCTAAAACACACGAGGGCTTCACTCTGCTCTTCCACTGCAGGAAAATCACTGGCTTGTTTTTTCATAGGTGGGTTTAACTGACTCAGACCAAACGGTGACCACATGCAGATCACTGATAGTAATGTGTGTCGACACCTCTGAAGACTTCTTTAAACCAGGAGAAAGCCCGTGTAGAGCCCGGCAGTCAAACCAGTTCTGTGCACATCTGAATCCAGCTTGGAGTCAGTTTGTGACTTACAGGATTTTATTTGCCTCCATTTTCAGCTTCAGCTGATTATTCGGTTCACGTGGATCTGTGCGAATAATCAAACATCTTTATTTTTCTTTCTTAAATAAACACACGAAAAACGTAATAAAGATTTGTTTTTGTGCGGGCCCTGCATCCCTTCAGATCTCCATGTGTGCTCACTGAACGCGTCACATAAATGAGAACAACCACAAAAACCAAGAGTCCTTCTGAGCGTGTTGATTGGTGGCTGTTTAATAAGCAGGTTCAAGCTTTTCCAGGTGTCTCAGGAGTGCACCTGAACCCTGAGCCTGTTTCCTGTCTGTGTCTCTCAGTCTCTGTTTAACAAAACCGCCTCCATCAAACCCACAAAAACATCCTCCCCCCACCCCCCTTCACCTGGTTTGATCTGCCCATTGGTCAAGGCGATGCGTTTCCATGGTAACTGGGGCAGGAGGGACAGCTACATTTGGCAAGGAGCTCGGTGGCTGGGCGCCGAGGCTGTTTGCTGCTGCAGTGAAGAAGAAGACAAATCAGAGACGGAGGTTAATCATCCATGAAGTTTCAATGTTTTCCAGGCCTGGAAAGGTGTACAAGGATTTTCCAGGTGGATCTCATGAAGATGTTGAAAGCATATTTCAGAATTTCAGACATGAATTCTGCGATATTTGCCTCGACAGATGTGCACACACACACACACACACACACACACATCTAAATTCAGCATCTACAAACACTCTGGTTACCATGACAACTGTCTCCATCCGATTGTTCAGTCTGACGTCACTAGCCGTGTCTGGGTCTAAACTCCGCTGCAGGTCCGTATATCAAACGATAACTGTTAGGTATTTTAGTACCATGGGAGCATTTACTGGATATTGTTTTATAGTGACATTATGCAGGAAAACTCTGTCATTCAATAAGGCCCCTTTGTTTTAGTTATTTTTCTCTTTGACCCAAGAACTGATGTGTGAGAATCACAGGCTGGTACAAGGTTGAAATACCACAGAGATCACTCCCTCAGCTACATTAGTTTCTTAATCTTTTAGACGCCTGTTGAAGGCCAAATGGTTTGTTTCAGATTTCACTAATGAAAGAACTCTTTGTTTTGTGCCTTGAAAATATGTCGCTGAGATAATCACAATTGTAGCTGAACTAATAAACTACACAAAGGATGCTTCTTCACCCAAGGGCAGGAAGACGCTCCCTTATCTTGGTCTGTACTGGTTTAAACTGATAATCTGCTGTCTCATGAATTTTACCCTCTATATAAACTGTTGTACTTGTGAATAAAGTTGAGTCAATTTGGGAAGACAACCTGAAGCAGTCTCTGTTTTCTTGTTCTCCCAAGCTGCTCCCGAGCTCGTACTAACACGCTGAATGGCATGCTTGAATATTACTTGAGAATATATTTGACTGTGTTACAGACTAAGGGACATTCTCTGCTGATAGACGTCCACGCCTCGAAGGAAGTCGATCCACGGATTAGGCCTTGGAAACCGTTTCCTTCAATCACTATGACATTACTGAGAGTTGAAAAACTGTCTAAAGTCTTTCATCTTTAATAAAATGATCAGCGTTCTGCTCTACCAGGTGTAACAATTGAGTTTAACATCCAGGCATCCATGAAAACGGAATTTCTGACATTTAACGGAGTTAGAAGCTAACTCCCTGCTAGCTTCTATCTAAATACAATATAGCATGTCCTGACTGCGGGGTTTTAGAAAAAAATTAAAACGTACAGCTCTGCTATCACTTCCAGCATAAATGAAGACAGAAAACTAGACAGCAGTGACGTTTGTAAGGTTACTGCTGGGCTAGCTGGTATATAATGATGTGCTACATGACCGCTAGCGACACAGCTATGTTAGCATAATATAAACAAGCTAACTTTTTTCCCACTCGATAAAAGTTAACGTGAGTGTTCTCGGTGGTCAGGAACAAATGTAATCGCATGGCAGGATGCTGTAAAAGGACCAAACTTCAGCCAGGAGAACAACTGAGATAATCCATCCACAATACGAGGTTAGTCATTCATATACTGCTGCATGGGCTGGGCTGTAGCTACATCTTAAGGTTTTAAAAACTGAGCTTAAATAAATGATTAGTGGTAATAAAAGCCGAGGGAGGTCAACAGTGATTACTGACTGTTTTAGGAGCTTTTTGAGATTAAATAGAAGAAAATACATAACATTAAACATGTTAACAACACAAAAGCCATATTAAACGCAGACTACTTTTTTTTTTTTTTTTAAATATTAAACTTTATTAAGAAACAGTATACAGAACATGTATACAATCAGAACAAAATTAACATATGCCAGGGGGTGCAATACAAAGAATTTCAAACATTCAAATAATTTGTAATTACTACAAATAGTACTAGTTTTCATAGCCTTTTTGTTAAGTGATCCACTAATCAATTTTATGTAACATAAAACATGATTACAGTAATGTTTAAAATTAGGTTAAACGCAGACTACTTTAGACCCCGAAGTAGGATTCGTCGCGTCATCACTGAACAACCGGATTGCCTGCAGTACTGACACACACACACACACACACACACACACACACACACACACACACACACAGCTGCCACCTGCTGGTTCACGTTCCTCATTACACCTCGGGACTGACAGTCCAAAACTTAGTTATTTGTTTATCATTGTTTGTTATACACAAACAAATAACATTTTTATCATTTTAAGACCTCAAAAAATTCTCTGTATTTCTGCACTTTAAGTCCAAACAATGTGTTTTTAAATCAGCCATAAAATGAAAAAAATATTGGAAGATTTTTCAGTTACTGGATGAAAAAAGAAAATGATTTTATTTTTTTACAGGGTTTTTGAAACAATTATGTTTCAGGTGTTTATCAGGCAGACAAACAGGTTGATATTTATAATCTATTGTTTGCTAAATAATTCAAAATGTCATGTGTGGGTCGGAACAGTACACAGCACAAACATGCAAACTGCTCTGCTGTTGGTACACCTGTCCATGTTTCTGAGTAGTAGCACACTGCAAACTCCACCTTCCTGTGACCTCCCCTGTACCGATATGTGTAAGCTCCAGGCTGACCCACTGAGCTGATGTCAGGACTCACAGGACGCACCTCATGCTGACCAACACAAACTGCTGTGTGCTTACCTGCAGCATCCAGGTGTGTGACCTGCAGGTGCGTCGGCGGGTCTGAAGCATGGCCGCTCGCTATCCTGAGGGCTGATTCCAGCAGCTGGCTCTGATTGGAGGAGAGAAGTGCCAATGAAAGTTTAGAAAGAGACGCAGGAGGCGTCGCATCTTTATTCCTACAATTCCCAGGTTTTACATTTTCTTTGATTGGATAACACGTCTGACACGCCCTGCTGCTATTGTTCAGCACGGTGACATCATTAAAGGTGTTCCTGTACTCACCTGCAGCTGCACCTGCTGGCACTGCAGCATCTCCAGGTGCTGCAGTGTCTGCTGGCTCATGCTCCGCCCTCTGTCCCCACCCTCCCTGATGACACGGTGATGTCACAGTGATGTCACATCTCCACTTCATTTAAAGTGACTTTTTATAACACAGAATTATTTTTCTCTTATTGTTTTTGTTTTCAGCATAACGAGGCGACAGGTGCACACAGTTTACCTGTCAGCTTGCAGCAGCTTCTGGATGCCGTCAGCCAGCTGAGCCACTCGAGCCTCCATATCAGACTGAGCCTGTAAACAAACACAAACAGAGGTGCTAAACATTAGCTGCAGTTCCTCTGATGTCCAGCAGAGGCAGCAGTGAGTCAGTCCCAGAGACTCACATGTGGAAAAAGCAGAAATAAACATGTGTACGGGCTGAATCGATCTATCAGCTGTACTCACCTTGAAGAGAGGAGCAGCAGCTGCCAAAGCTGCAGTGGCAGCGGCGGCGGCAGTGCTACTGGCATCTCCCAGGTCACCAGAGGACAGCGGCGTCTCCATCTGGACCCCAGCATCCTTCGCTGCATCCCGGGAGCTCAGAGCAGGGGAGTCCGGGGGGTTTCCCGCAGAGTGGAGCGGCATCGGGTCCAAGAAGTGAACTTTGACCTCCCTCCTGCGGGGGGCGCTGTGAGAGCTGAGCATCACAGATAAGATGAGATGTGTTTTTATGAGCAACCTGTAGCAAGTCTGAGGAAACACGTTTCACTCACCGCTGCTTCAAAGCCGCCAGCACGACTCCTCGACCCCCAGATGCAAACCGTGACGTAAGGACGTCGTCACCTGATGATGCAAGCAGAGGTGGAGTCAGTATTGTGATGATTAAAGATAAACACAGAACGTTTTACGACTCAAATTGAATTGATTAATTATGGTGAGAAGTGTGAGAGTCTCGGAGGCTCACTCTCACACCGAGTCAAACTAAAATACAAAAAATATGAATTTTGATCTTTTTACGATCATGTGTGAAGAAATTCTGTCTAACGCAGGGGTGGACAATCTCAGTCCACGAGGGCCGGTGTCCCTGCAGGTTTTAGATCTCACCTTGGGTCAACACACCTGAATCACATGATTAGTTCGTTACCAGGCCTCTGGAGAACTTCAGGACATGTTGAGGAGCTAATTTAGCCATTTAAATCAGCTGTGTTGGTTCGAGGACACATCTAAAACCTGCAGGGACACCGGCCCTCGTGGACTGAGATTGCCCACCCCTGGGGTCCGTTCTTCGTACCTCGCTTACTACATCCAAGATCAAATGACACATCCAAGATCAAATCATCGCGCCAACTTTGAGCTCGCTATTCCGGTTCTCCGAACACACCTGTTGTTGATGATTAGTACAGCTGGATGAAGTAATGTGAGATCACTGGGTGGCTTAACAGGGGCTACGCATCGATAGTAGAAACATTGATCGGCAACCCTTTGATTGGTCGGCGAAAATGTCGAAGGAGCGCGCTCAGTATTTTTCGGCAGCAGAGCAAGAACTCTTGAGTGAGGGATTTCAGGAGTTTCAGAGTTTAATTAAAACGCAAGGGAACACTGCAACGGCTGCAAAAGCAAGGAGAGAGGGCTGGCAGAAAGTTGCTGACAAATCAAACTCGTAAGTAATTTAATAATAATAATAATGGAGTGGATTTATATAGCGCTTTTCAAGGCACCCAAAGCGCTTTACAATGCCACTATTCATTCACTCTCACATTCACACACTGGTGGAGGCAGCTACGGTTGTAGCCACAGCTGCCCTGGGACAGACTGACAGAAGTGAGGCTGCCATATCGCGCCATCGGCCCCTCTGGCCAACACCAGTAGGCGGTAGGGTAAATTTATTATATTACACTATATCCTCTTTCACATTAGAGCCACGACAGGACCCACTAGAACATGGGAACAAGTAAAGTGAAATATAAGAATATTCCACAGAATGGTAATATTTATCACTTATATTGCTTTTAGTCTCTTGAAAAGAGACCCTGAAATAATCTGTTTGTTTGTTCATAACAGCAACCAAGAAAAGGGCAGAGCAAAAAAAGACAGGTGGTGGTCCTGCACCCCCTCTTCAACAAGTTGGTTAAGTAAATAATACCCTCACGGGAAAATCGATATCTCTCTATGAGCACACTGTCGCGCTGAGCTAAAGGATCCTGTCTGTCCCGCAATATACGCTGAATTCTGAAAACTCTCCTTATCAATCTTGCACCTTCCGCAATGGGTGGCTCGCGTATACGGACAGGACATGACTGCGACAGACTTCCCAAATCCACCTTCGCTTTTATAGCCGTGGTCTCTCAGCTTGATTACACGAAGTAATTTACTATTACTACTCTGAAATATGAATTACATCTGAAACAATCAAATACATGAAATAGAATGATTAATAGTACATTTCCCTTTTTTTAGGAAATGACCTGTATGTATTAGAGATGGCACGATACCACTTTTTTATCTCCGATACCGATATCATAAATTTGGATATCTGCCAATACCGATATGAATCCGATATAGTGTTTTTTAATCAACAAAACTGTTTTTGTAAATATCTTGCTGCATTTTGTATAAGTTCATACTCAAGTTTAAAACAACAACTACACTAAAGCTATTCTGTTATACCTGTATACAAAAAAATATTTCATAGTTCAGCAATACTGATCAATCTAATAAACTTAAACCTACACCATCCTCCCTATTCTGGTATTTTAAAGAGTACTTAGCGTAAATATTAAGCAACCTAACTAATAGGGTTCCAACTCCCAGCAACAACAAAAATAAATAAATAAAAAATAGGGAACCACCCCTCACGCTCCACCTCATGATGCTTAATCGACGTAATCAACCTTAATTTGATGCAGTGTGGAAAAAAAAAATGCACAGAAATCAATAATTTTTCAAGAAATATTAAATAGATTCAACATCTTTCTTCAACAAAATTGCAGACTGCACAGATGGTACCTTCCCAAAGTAAAAGTACTATAGCTTACTAGGGTATATATATTAGACTTAATAGTCACTATATACAGTAATTGACTTCTAATCATTTTACATCAAATTAAAACTTTGGGTGTCAGATAATTATTTATTAAAAGCTAGACATTTTAAATGAGAATAAGAAAGAAAAGTATGTCTTTGTGCCCCCTTTTCCCTGTTAATGCCCTATCGGCCCCCTGGCTAAACTTTGCTAGATCCGCCCCTGCACAGTTACCAGCGTCAGCTACTAGAAAAGATCCTCGAGTAGAAAGTAATATTAAATAAATTCTTACAACAGCTTATCAAGCTTAAACGTGCTGCTGTTGTTCAGCCGCTGGTTTCCTCTTTCTGGTGCAAAGTGGGCCAAAAACAAACAAGAGAGACGGACTCCCGACAGAAAAGCCGATCAGCTGATCATTAAGCACTTTCACAATTGAAGTAGCAGCCGGAGAGTGAGAGGCAGTCGCTTAACGCAGGAATGCTTTACTAACATTCAGAGATGGACTTACACACTTGCTTTACTTCTCTCGGATAACTTTGTCGGAGATGAAATGCCGGGTTGCTAGCGAAGCTCCAAATGCTATCCAGACCAGGACAGGTCCGGCATGCCACAGCCGCTCTATCACGTGATGCATACTGCTCCGACGTGCTAACATTCTGAGGTGAGTTACGGCGTGTTGCAAGTTTTGTGAGGTGCTTTCGTGATATTTAATGGATCGGATTACATTTTTTATTTTTCTCCGATATCCGATCCAGTAATTTAGGTCAGTATCGGACCGATACCGATACGTAATATCGGATCGGACCATCTCTAGTATGTATCTGTATGGAATCAATAAAAGAATCAAATACTGCATTATCTTTAGTTACATTGATGTTATTTATTTATGGTGAAACAGTGGTGGAATATCGCTGTTGCTTTCGTATAAATGAAGCGGACATACCTGAGTGGCCGCGATCTAATCCTGTTTACATAAAGTAAGCCTGCTCCCGAGCAGGTTTACGCTTACGGATCTGTTGCTATGACAGCAAGTCCCGGATGAGCTTCGGAGAACCGAACGATCCAAGATCAGCGAAATCGTCAACAATCAAATCCAGCTAACTTACTTAGCGAGGTACGAAGAACGGACCCCTGGGCCCTATTTCAGGAAGCCGGTTTAGAAAACAGAGTGAAAAACGATACTCAGGGTCGAGTAACCCCGAACTGTCCAACTCGGAATATTCGGTTTCAGAAAGGCTGATAACAATTAGTTCAGTCAACGTGGAGTTGCTTTAACCCCAAGTTAAGCACGCGCACGAGGATACATAAAGCCCTGATTAGTGGAGCACAGATTAAGCGAGTCACCATGGAGACGGAGGGAAAGAAGGCGCGGTCAATGTATTTTACAGCGCTTGAGGCCGAAATTCTGATGGCAGCATATGCCGATAACATGCAAATTTTGCGGGAAAAAAGTAACACAGCCACAGCTGCGAAAGAAAGGGAGCATGCATGGCAAAACATAGCCGACAGAGTCAATGCGTGAGTGTTAATTTAAACATTGATCTAGGGATTTCCACCCATTTTACACGTTATTTTATTATTTTTATTTGATTTTTTATTTCATACATTTTATTTTGTGATGTGATGTGAGCGCAGGTGCAACCCAACAGGCTCCAAACGTTCCTGGCAGCAAGTAAAAATGAAATATAAAAATATAGTCCAAACAGGTAAGGTGTAATTGTATTATGAGCCATAGTGCTTGGTCTGTTTGTCCGATGTAAATCAATTGCAGTTAGAGGCTACATTAATTTTCTTTCTGTAAGCACTTATTGAAATTATCTGAGCACATTACAAGTACATATTTGCTTACTCTGTATGCTCAAATGTGACCCGTTATAGCCAACAGAAAAAAAGCGGAGGCCCGAAAAACAGGTGGGGGTCCTCCACCACCACCACTCACAGAGGCTGAGCAGTTGGCTTCCACATTTGTGATAATGTTGGCAGCATCACATATGATCTTCACAGTGCAGAGAACACAAATTAGCATCCATTACTATAATGAAATAATTTGTTAGTTTGAAATGCTACAGGGAACTATGTACCTGTACATTAATGCTGTGGAAAGACTTCCTGTTCACATAGTCTCCTTCATTTACTGAAGGAGCAATGATTGGAATGTGAGTGCCATCTGTACAGCCAATCACACCTGGGAACCGTGAAAATAAATGTAAAATTTAAGTAGTAGTTCAAGTATCACCACATCATGAATTAAATTTTGTTCATCCTGATACCTGCAATTTTGTGGCATCCCTCTTTGATAAATCTTGTGGGTCTATGACCGGGGAAAACCACAAACGAGTACAGGAGACGTTTCAGTGCAACTGTAACATTCCTGACTGCCCGACAGACGGTAGCCTTGGAAACGTGCTCAGCGTCTCCAATATTATACAGAAAGCTCCCGTTTGCAAAAACCGAAGTGCAATACAAATAATATGTACAGAACTGAGAGGATGTCCGCGATGTGTCACATGAGCAATATTAGGCCTGAGGATGTTATTCAAATAAATTATAGATTGTGCTGAAAAACGGTAACGTTCACACAGGAAATCATCAGGAAATGATAAAATGTCCAAACGTGCTCTAATCACTCTCTCCGGGCGGAGAGCTCTGCGGAGAATTTGGGCTTCAACATCTACTGGCTCTTCAAGGAAGGGCACGCCACCCAGGAATAACACCCAGGAATAACATCCTGGGTGGCTGTAGCTCAGGTGGCAGAGCAGGTCAGCCACTAATCAGAAGGTCGGTGGTTCAATCCCAGCCAAATATCCTTGGGCAAGATGCTAACCCCGTGTTTGCCTACTGGTGGTGGTCAGAGGGCCCGGTGGCGCCATGTCCACCAGCCTTGCCTCTGTCAGTGCGCCCAGGGCAGCTGTGGCTACAATGTAGCTTGCCATCGCCTGTGTATGAATGGGTGAATGACTGAATGTAGTGTGAAGCGCTTTGGGGTCCTTAGGGACTAGAAAAGCGCTATACAAATGCAGGCCATTTACCATGTCTGACACTTCCTACAGTCAGGTTTCCGGCGGAGAAAGTCAGGGTTAGTTGAAGTAAACCTGCTAGGGGGCAGGTTAGCTTCACGGAGTGTGTCGTCATAGTGACTCACTCAGAATTAATCTAAACTTGCTTTGTGAAACCGAAACCCAGAGTTTTCGTTAACTCAGGGTATACTTACTCAGAGTTTGCACTAAACCGGCTTCCTGAAATAGGGCCCTGGTCTAACGTCTAGAGACGTATCTGTAACGCGAGGCTGCTGATTGTTGGCTGAAATGCGATCTTCACTGCTTTTAAAGGACCGTCTGGTTTAATGGCTTTAGGTGTAGCAGAGTTATTAGTTTTGTTTTTGAACGTTATTGTGACCTGTATTGCTGTATAGAGGGTGTGTGTCACAGGCACGATCTATGACACTGAACAGCGATCCTCAGCCTCAAAGATGTCCATTAAAATCTCGTCAGTCACGATGTCCCAGAATTATTTCAAACCAACAAAGATTACACTATATTTTTATCCTATTTTATTTTCCACGTTCATTTCAGTTTGAGTTTTTAATTGTTATTTAAAAGACTACAACTAAGAATTTTTACTTTAGTGAACTGAAATGTGCCGACACAGCTAGTTTTAGTGAACTAACCCTACTCCTACCTCAGTGTTTCTCTGTGCTGCTGGCTTTTAAACCTCACCCTGAGCTAAAGTGAACGGCACAGCTCCACGCAGCTGTGAGTCACGTGAGCAGCTATGACTTTATCCAAAGTTTCTGGATTTCTTCCATGACCCTCACAAACTCCCCCACACCCTGATGCACGGACACACCTTCAGTATGGGCACGTTTTAAAATAATGAACACATCTGCCAGGTATTATATTACCCCCCCACCTGTGTCCATCGCCTCAGCGAGTTTTCCGTCTCCTCCTCCGGAGATCTTACGGGGCTTTAAGTACGCTGCTGACCGATGTGAAGCAGCGATATCCGGGTTCTGTCTGGGACTCCGCCGCCGCTGCTTATTCTGTCTCAGTTCGGTCAGAGTAGGAGGACGAAAGTCCCGCAGTTTTCGGACGGTTATCTGGACGGATCCGGGTCCCGGTCCGCCTCCGGGACCGGTCCGGTCCGGGTGGAGGACTCGTGTGGAGCGGATTAAAACGTCCCCGGTGTCTGAGCTGCAGGAGGACTGATCCGGACTGAGTGCAGCCGGAGAAGACATGACGCTGTTTACCTACAGTGTTAATAAAGCTTATTTAAAGCTGCACTGTTAGCATGGAAGCTAACTTCGTCCAGACTTCCGCTCCGGCTCTAAAACCCGCCGCTGGCCGGGTAAAGGAAGGCGGCGGTCAGCGTCGCGGGGGGCGAGGAGAGAGTTAAAATAATTTACACCCCAACGAGACGCCAGGAAAAACCCCCACAGAAAGTACGACAGAAAAAAGAAAATGTTCAAACACAGCAACTGTTGCTGACAACAAACAACCGAACTTCCGGCTTCCGCTCCAGACAGGATGCTGAAAAAACTCCGCTTCAAAATCAAAACACGAAGAAGAACAAACGGCATTGAGAAACAAAGTAAACACAGCAAATTAAAATTTTATTTATTAGCCGAAAACTGGACAGTACACCTCTATCATAGAAAAATCAATGAGTGCGAAAATGACTGAAAAAATGTATTCAAACGAATTCATTCATAAATACTTGAAACACTCGTCTCACTCGTTCTGGAAGCTGCAGTTGTGAAAACAGCTTCTTTGTCAGAGTGCATTTTACTGCTTGCGAGAACTCTATGTTTTTCTGAAATGTGTTTGAAACGACCCTGTAAAGTTGGACTGGTTCAGGAGAAATTATGATTGAAGATGGTTTGCCTTTATAGAAGGACTTACTGATGAAGTTTAGATTTAGTTTAATGCGATTATATTTGGAGGACGGAACACCAGTCACAGAACTTTTGTTGCTCTTCGGTAAGTTTCGGTTTCTGACCTGAACATTCGTCACATTTTTCTCTCAAATGTACATTTTTATTTGTGTTTTGAGTTTAAAATTATTAATTAATAGCTGAATGTTAAGCTTAATGTAAGCCTCATGTGGTTTTTTTTCTTTTAATTTAGATGAAAAGTCGCAAAAATATCGGAGAGGATCTGCTGCTCTGTGCGCATGCGTCCTTCAGTCCGTCACTCGGAGGTTCCCCTCAGGCAGCTCGGAGCTCAGGTGGAATAAAACTGTCCTCCTTCTGCTGTAAAGGGAAACTGAGCGCTGCTGCTTGGGAGGCTGAAGAAGAACATCCCCAGGAGAACAGAGGGCCCTCATCAGAGGGCGGGAACACGGCGCTAACCGGGCTAGCCGTTAGCAGCAGCGGTCCGTTTAAAGTGCTGTTTTATCAGGTAGGTTGTTCATCATGTCACTAAAGCCCGGGTAACCTCTGCTATCTGAAGCGTTACTAAACCAGCCAACCTAAGCTGAACGGTACACCTGTAAAGTCACATTGAAAGAATAACACGTGAGCGCCGGAGGAGCTTTAAAGAGGCGGACCACGAAGTGAGCTAAAATGGAGGATTTATGAATGGAGTCTGGTGTGTTAGCATTACTGCTAATTGTCGCCCTGTTTCCCCTCCCACAGAGTCCGAATCATGGCGGTCCAGGTGTCCGAGTTCGACCAGATCAAACAGGTAAGTGACCCCAAGAGTTTTCATGTCGACTCTGAAAAAAGAGGCTCAGAATTCAGAGGCACAAAGTCCGGTTACTGTGGCCTCCAGGGTCCATAGAAAGCCCGCACTGAACTATACAGCAAGGAGTCGAAGGGGCTTGGAAAGAAAGCGTCTGGACTTTTTAGGTTGCTGGAAGACATTTCACTAGTGATGGGTCCAGCAACACCGACGCATTATCAAGCTAGCGATGCCTGTATCGGTGCGTGCGTCGCTTTAAGAAAAAGTCAGGTGATCGATACAGCTGCTGTATCGCTCATTGGCAACGCGCCAAACTATGTTTAAAAGGTACCGCATCTGCCAACGGAATGAGTTGCCACCAAAGAAAAAACACAAAATTACTCTCGCAAAGACTAAAAAACAAAACACATCAAAATGGAGCCCGAAAGAAAAAGAAATGTTTCTGTTGTGTGGGATCATTTTGATCTTTTAACTGCAAATAAGTTTGTCTGTCTTTGTTTCAGTGTATCTATCAGAACAGGAAAACAGCAATGTGACTTGAAGTTTAAATTATTTATTTCATTTGATGCAGGATAAATGTTGCATCTGTTCTGCGGAGCTTCTTACACAAACAAAAGCACATCCTCAGTGTTTAGGCATTACAGAGCCAAACATGAAAATGAGGAGACAAACACACCGAGAATGAACACTGGTAGGCCTATATAGACACTAAACATCTTTATCATCATTTTTTTTAAATTAATGTGTTTTATTATTTTCAAATCAAGCATCTAGGAAGACTGCTCTGGACCAGGCAGTCCTGAATTTTATTAAAAGGACTGCCCAACCCCTTAGTATTTGGGAGAAGAGTGTAACGTACTGAGGGAATAGGAAGACATCTTATCAGAACCTTTTCCACCTGGCTTTACAGTTTTTGTTTACCCCAGCTGTATCTGTTCCTGTGAGTTTTCCAAAGCTGGGGAAATGGTGTTTTAAAAAAAAAAAACAAAAAACGCAATAGACTGAATGCTAAAACATTGGATAAAACCTATTTTTCTGAATAGAAATTTATAATAAACTCTGAGTCAAATACTTTAAATGGGTAATGTTACATTCACAATACTTTCATTTAATTTTCACATCAATGTCATTCATAATATATTTAAAGATTCTACAATATTTGTAATATAGAAGATATAAAATGATTCCATGGAAAGTACAATACCTTACAGTGTACAAGTATGACTAGGTCATTGAATCAGTGTCTGTTGTGAGTCTCAAGTAAGTTGCCTGTAATGATATTTAAGGTCCAGCAGGTGTCAGTATGGAGCAAAACTGTGCGACGCAGTGTCGATACAGTTTGGGGAATGTGCTGAAACGCTCACGAGGCCTCATCTACCCATCACTACATTTCACCTCTCGTCTGAGAAGCTTCTTCAGTTCTGGGTTAGCTTCTCGAATGAGTATCCTTAGACTAACGATGACCTGGATGACTGAGAACCTTCACAGATATACAGCAAGGAGCCTGTGAGGGACAAAAAAGGAGAGAGCGACAGACCCGTAGGTAAAAATAAATAGATAAAAACAGAATCAATCAAAACAACTCAAATACCGTCAATGCCAGAATACTGTGCCAGCTTATTGGGACCAATACATGAGGGACAAGAAAGTAATTAGTTTTTAATTTAGAAATGAAAATCTTTAAAGAGTAGCTAAAAGCAATGCACATAAATAATAAATAAATGAAACCGTATAATTGAGAGATAGGATCATGAAATGTTTTTAAAGTAAAAAATTAAGCACGTAAATTAGAACGTATGATAAAAGTAACTTCAAAAGATAAAGTATTTAAGATAAGATAAAACCTTATTAATCCTCGCCAGCACCGACAGAAGTTACAGAGCGTGAGCAGAATAATATATATATGCAATAGACCTCAATACTTGAAATGTGCAATTCACTTGTATTTTTTATTTGTATTCCTATTTATCCCCTTCGTATAAATAGTGTTGGGATTCAGAGATTCTTTTATTGCTACCATATAATCTGCCTTATGAAGAATGTATTAATAACATGTTTTACAGTATCATTTATCGGAATATTTCCTGCAGGGTTTATAAAATTGCATTGAATATGTCTGTCATCACATTGACCTTTCTATTTTACAGGTTGAGTTCATTTTATACACAATGCATAAATGTGCTTGGTTAGAGTTGATGTTCCATTCTAGAAGGTTTTAAGCTTCACTGGTGAGAGTGTCCAGATGATACATGCTGAGGGGAGATGAGAACATAGCAGGTTAATTGCATGCATGCTTACAATACACATATTAATCTAGTAGCAGGTTTGAGTGAAGCCTAAGCGTCTTCTACTTCAGTTTGAGACTGGCTGCAAAAGTACTCTACTTAGGGATTAATGACGAGGGTCCATTATTAGCTCTCAGAAACGCTAAGACCTGAAGTTATTACCTTAAAAGGCAAGTAATGTAGAAAAGAGAAGTTATATGTCAGTTTATAGTTATTAAAAGTATATGTGATGAACCCTTGTTTGTACGAGTTGAACTTTTGTCTGTCTGTCACCAGGTATTTTTGAACTGTATTGACGTAGGTGTGATATTTTATCCTATAAAACCAAAACCCATTGTATTTTGTCAGAGCAACACATTCTGTATGCTGATGGTTGGTTGTTCTCCTGTGATAATAAAACTCATCGTTTGATTGCACTTTTCCGGAGTCTCCGTCGTTTGTTGTCTGGTCTAAAGTTGATCGATCTCGCAACAATAGGAATACAAATAAAAAATACAAGTGAATTGCACATTTCAAGTATTGAGGTCTATTGCACCGCTGACTATTAACAAAAAGTATTGCACAGTGAAGTGAAGAGGCACTACAGCTTAGTTGTTCCCCCTCCTTTGTCCTCCAGAGAGGAGTTAAACAGTTTGATGGCGTGTGGGACAAAGGAGTTTTTAAGTCTGTTGGTGCTTGTCTTTGGGAGAAGCAACCTGTCACTGAACAGACTCTTCTGGTTGTTATGGCCGTGTGCAGAGGATGCCCAGCATTGTCCATAATGTCCAGCAGTTTTTTGTTTTGTTTTTTAGTGTCCTTTTCTTTGCCACTGTCACCAGAGTGTCCAGCTTCATGCCGACCACAGAGCCAGCCTTCCTGATCAAGGAATTTGTTCATTTCGCTTCTGTCAGTGCGCCCCAGTGCAGCTGTGGCTACAATGTAGCTTGTTATCACCAGTGTGTGAATGGATGGATGACTGAATGTAGTGTAAAGTGCTATACAAATACAGGCCATTTACCATTTATAAATGAAAATAAATTAAATAAAAATAAATCAAATGAAACTAGAAAATATTATATGGCATTATGAAAAATTATAGTTAAGAAATGAATATCTGAAATGAAAAGCAAGTTTGTAAAAAGGGAGGTAAATGAATGGAAAAAGGTGAAACTTCAGGAAATGAAAACAGAAGAAAATAAAAAAAAAAATGGTTAAAAGTTTTTGAAAAAGAATATTGAAGGGCTTATTTATGACAAATACACTATTCTTTGTAATACTGTTTTATGAACGGAAGCTTCTGTGCTGCACTTCGCTGAACATTTACTTTTTCAGAGCAGTAGACTTTTTTTTTTTTTTTTTTATTCCTTCACAAATGTGCTTTAGTGAACAAAAGGAGCAGCTCTCCAGCACACATGTAAATCTAATGCCAGAAATTGCACTAACGGTTCTACTTATGAGCTCCACCTGTAGTTGAATCATATTTTTTTTTATTTTTAAAACTGAGCGTGCCTGAAGCAGCGAGAGGACGGAGGTTAAAACCTGTTTGAGGAAATTTCTTCCCAGACCTGAACCTCGGATCCTTCTCCTCTCAGATTGTTTTGCTGAGTTGCTGCTCTGCAGCCGTTTTCTGAGCCGTGTCTGTTTCCTGTGTTCAGTTTAAGGAGTTTCTGGGGACGTACAACAAGGTGACGGAGAACTGCTTCATGGACTGCGTCCGAGACTTCACCACAAGAGACGTGAAGCCCGAGGAGGTAAAAAAAGATGATTGGATGACAGAAACATGTAGGTGAAGGAACATCTGGATAAAATCCTCACAGCCGTTTGTGTTTCAGTCGAGCTGCTCCGAGTCGTGCCTGCAGAAGTACCTGAAGATGACTCAGAGGATCTCCATGCGTTTCCAGGAGTATCACATCCAGCAGAACGAGGCTCTGGCGGCTAAAGCTGGCCTGCTGGGACAGCCGCGCTGACCCTGAACCTGGGCCAGGCCGGGCCGTGCTGGTCCAGCAGATCCTCCGGCGCTGTAAAAACAGACTCTGAAGCTGCGCGTGAGGACGTTTTGTTGTAGTTTCTGACCTGAAGCTCCGCCCCTCAGATTCTATCTGCAGGGTTAGTCGGCTGTTCTGTGCATCATGGGAATGTAGTTTCAGATTCTTTATTAACATGCAGAATATTCATTTAATGTGCACATTTGTCATTTTATTGAACACAACGACCGACCGATGTGGTGGTGATGATGATGATGATGAGCTGACTTCATTTTTCATGTCTGGAAATAAAAATAATCCGACATCAGGAATGTGTGGATGTTTTCATCCCTGTTAGGAAGTGCTTTACTGCATCCGGCCTCAGTCTGGCTCTGCTGCAGATCACACAGTCCTGAGAAACGTTCAGACCAGCTGCAGCGTTTCACATGATTCAACTGCTCCGGCTGGAGAGCTCGTTATGTCCTGAAAGTTACTGATTAACCTGCTTTTAGTACTGAAGTGTTTCTGCAGCAGACCCTCGCTGATGGCCTTACTCTAAAGTCAAGGTTAGTTTTATTGCAAGTTGCATTGCAACTTATACCAAATGTACACTGTATAAAACAATCACTAAATCAACATTGAATACAGACTACAAATTACGAGTAAAGACTGTGGCTGCATAATAAAAGCCGGGGTGTGCGGCTCTAACAGACCTGAGAGCAGTTGTTTTTTGTTTATAGTGACTTAGAGTTCGGGCAGCTCTAATGTGAAAAGCTAAGTTTAGCAGCCACCCCTGAGAAGGCTCCATCGCCTCTGCTTTCAAACCTGGATCTCTGAATCTCCAGGAGCAGCAGTGCCTCAGTGCTGTGGTAGAACTGAAGGGTTTCAAACGGTTTGTCGGGTAAGGCGGTGCCAAACCATCGACGCTCTGAGAAACAAATAATAGATTGTTAAACTGGATCTGAAATGCACTGGGAAGGCTAGAACAACAAAATGATCAAACCCATGGAGACCATTCAAGTGTAGAACACATGACTGTCTCAGTTACAATCCAATAATCTATTTGGGTACATTTGATGTACAATAGGACTTTTATTTTGGAAGTCTGTGGTATTTGTCATTATTTCTCTGAGTGAGCACGACCACCATTCTCTGAGCCAGACTGGGTGCCAAAAAGTGATTTACTGAATCTGCAGCTTTTATCCCACCTGTCCGCACATTCTCATCGAATTACATTCCTCACAGTGAGTCACTGATGATGCACGAAGATAATCACAGCAGGCAGAAGTTAAACACAGCACAGCTGACTGAACAGATCACATTTATGAGTGATGTCATGAAACTGACATCACTCAGAGTAAACAACGAGCGAGGTAGAGGATAACTTTATTTTCCCCGTGTGGTTGTTTGAAGCAGACAGCAGTCCAACGAGCTGCATACATCCAAGACAGGGTACGGAAGACTATGACTTGTACTCACCTGAAGACTTTAAATAACTCTTTATTTATTTATGATCAGAACCCCCATGTTGGTGTTCTTGGCCCCCTGTTAAAAATCCTGGGGAAGCCCCTGCTTTACTTTTAACGCTAACCTCGCTGTGCTGCATTCCATGTAGCGGCGTGTCTCATTGGCTGACACCAAATTCCTTTCATAGGCGCGTCCAATCAGCGTCACCGTGTTATCTAGCTGGTGGCTCGCTGGCCCGCCCCCCTCTGGAGCTGGGAATGACAGTGAGGAAGAGGAGGGGAGGTCTCCGGTGGTGTCCGAGCAGCAACTTTGCCAGAGAAACGGAGAATCACCGACAGAAAGTCCGCGAAGCGAGTGGCGGATAGGGCTCAGAGCGGTGCTGTGACCCGGCAATTTCCCGGGGGATTGAGTTGTGAGACAGAGGCCGAGGTCGCGCTGAAGCAGGTGAGGCTTCCAGCGCTTTCTGTTCGCTCTCAAGTGGCTTTGTTATCAACAGGTGCCGCTAGCAGCTAGCAGCTAACGCTAGGCTCGAATAAAGTGCGTTTCTCCGAGCAGGGCGGCTCGCTGACGGGCCAAACCGACCCAGGTGTCCGAGTTTAGGCCGTGAACGGAGCCGGTCCGCCCCGGAGCCCTGTCGCTCGGGTGAGAGAAGCAGGAAAACGCAGAGAGGCTCGAGAGTGAGCTAAGGTTAGCCAGCTGTCAGTGAGACAAACTCCAGGCTGGGGAGAGGTACCTGCATACACCGCTCAGCTTATCTTTATTTCAGTTATTCCACCTCAGCAGCGACTAAAAGCGCCATTTTTACTAAAACGCCGCCGCGTAGTCCTGCTGAAGTTAACCTGAGTGCTGGACAACCTGTCAAACTACAGGAAGCTGTATTTACAGTGAGCTTCTTATTTCCTTGTACAGAGAAATAAAGCGTTCATTTCCTGTTCCCTGCCGCTCCCCGTGACTGCCGTGGAAGGAAATGTGTTTTTGAATGGAGCGTTATCAGGTCCGAGATTACCGAGGACTCAGTGGCAGTGGGCGGCTCGGATTCAAACCTTCAGTCGGTGTGAGGGACAAGCCCAGCCCGGCCTCCTCACGCAGTCCTCTCAGCGTTTGGGGTTTCTTTATTTTTTCTCTCTTGTTTGTTTGTTTTTACCCCGCATATATGTTCCCAGTCATGTTTTGTGCGCTTTTTTTGGGCTTTATTCTTCAATTATTTGTTGTTTTTTTTTAAAACAAACAAACATGTGTGACGGGCATTCAGTAAATAGTTACTTTTTTCCTAATCTGTTTTTGAATTTCTTTGCTTTTATTTTTTGCCCCACAATTTTATTAATTCTTTTTTGGTAAATTGATTTTTTTTAAGTTTACATTTTCCTCATAAATATTTGTACATTTTAGTCATTTTTGGAGGGAATTTTTGGGATCTTTTTGTGTTTTATTTTACATTTTTTAAAGTAACGTTTTTGTCAATATTTGAATTTTTTCCATTTTTTATTATTTTGATATTTGAGTTTAGAAAAAGTCATACCTTTATGAAAAAACGAATTAATTCATGGTATGTGTTTCTTGTAAATTTGTAGTTCTCTGCTCTTGTTTTGGGGGATTTCTGTCCTAAATATTTGAGTTTCTTGTGAATGTGGGCGGTGTTAAGATGTGACCCCGCCCTCCCAGCAGCCTGTCGCCCTTCACTGTGAGTCGCTGCATTATTATTAGACTATTTTCAGCATGACCTTGTGCTGGTTTGTCTCACTGCTGTGGACAGAGTCGTGGTTCTGCAGTTTCAGCAGATAAAATTTGGAGAAGTTTACCTGTTTAATGTTTACCTGCGTTTGCCTTCCAATCAGACATGTCTGTGGGCGGGGCATTGCTCCAGAGAGAGTGGTGGCTCCATCAAAGCAGAGTCGCAATATTTTAAATTTTACTTGTTCATTTATTATTTTTTAATAGCCTTTATTGGATGGAGACAGACAGGAGGCACAGTGGGGGGGGGTCGGACTCATACCCGGCTTCCTGGCCATGGATCACACGGTCGCCAGCTCACCCTCTGAGTAAACTGGTGCCCAGAATTCATTTATCTGATTGAATTTCTGTGAATAAAGTTACGATGCAGTTGCTGTGAATGTTGAGTCTTACAAAGAGCGTAGTTTGGATGCGAGCGCAGGTCCCACTAAAGGGCGTCACGCCCTCACGCCACCATCACAGGGTCTGTCTGGGAGATCTCAGTCAGACGAGGAGCCGCTGGAGGTCCCCCGTGCTCCTCCTGTGCCTCCTCACACTGTGGAGCGGATGCTGGTCTGGTCCCGGCGTCTACTCCTCCTGATGCTGCTGGCAGACGCAGCAGGTGTGGAGGAGCTGCATTACCTGTGCAGCATGAACGGGTTGCAGCAGGCACGAGGACACAGAACACTCCCCTTCCTTGTTGCTGCCGCTCTGATCACACCTGTGCAGGTGAGACAGAATTTGTCACCTTTCAGTGTGAGCTGTTCACAGGGCAGCCGGCTCTCGGGTGCTAGATGTTTCATCTGATGACATCAGGACTGCCTTGGAGTCCCACGGCGTGGTGAAGTGACCGCGGTCGGTGGCTGGTTGGATGTGACTCATTGCTGCATCTGCAGTTTCCTGCACATGGTCACGGTTCAGCTGCACATGCGTGTCTGGCGTGTTTGTGGAAAGTTTTCTCACCTGTAAGAGTTTCACATCAGGGCTCCAGACTCTGAGTGCTCTCCACCTTTAAGATGCAGCTCCCCTTGCTGTGTGTTCGGCTCTCAGACCTCAGACCCAAATGAAGAGATAAGATGAGTGAGGCTCTGCAGGAGAAGTGAGTTTTCTCTGAGAACTACTAGTGTTTATCTTTTTGGAGAAGGAACCATTGGACTTGTTTTGTATTTTTCTGATTTATTTTGAAGTCAAAGCTTTCCCTGAAGCTCGTCTTTGTTGTCCTTAATAAGGCTGGTGTTATCTGTGAGGGTGCTGTGGAAGTCAGGTTGGGTGCCTGTGTTTGGTTTCCTCGTCAGCGGATGTAGGTTTGCTTCTGCAGCACAGAAAGAAAGCTGCAGGTGTTGTGCGAGCTGGATGTGGAGGGTCATTGGCTGAATTTCAGAGAGCGGTGGGAGCCTCACTTTACATCCACGCAGAGCCCTGGTGAAGCAGTGAGGTGAGGACGGGGCTGAGGGCGTCCGGCCAAAGAGAGACAGACGTCCTCTGTTCTCAGGAATGCTCGCTCGCTCGCTTCTTCTCCGGCCTGATTGGGGGCTCGTGCCGGGGCAGATTGGTCACTGCTGTCTGATTTGGTCCATTTGCGTCCTCAGGCAGTGGGACGTTGCTGAAGTCCAGGTGTGTATGAGGACTGAGTTTAGTCCTTTCCATGCTTATGTTTTTTTTTTTAAATATTTTACAAAATTTCCTTATTTAATCTGCCAGAGAACAGCACCTTCTACTTTTACTTCACCGGACAGTCTGATTGCTTTTATTTTGAAAGATCCAGCCCTTCCTGTCTCATGCTTCCTTTCTCACAAACACGGCCTTGCTGACCAGTCTGTCCTGCTCAGGTGAGCTGGTTAGTTAGTGGTTTAGGAACCAGTTCTCCACCTGTTGCAGGTTCTGGTTCTGGTGCAGGACCTCCAGACTAGAACCAGGACTACATCACCAGCTGCAGTCCAG